AAAAAAATAAGTCATGCTACCAGCAAAGAACACAAGTAACAGAATATGCTCCTATCGAGTTGGTTTTACTGCTACGAAATCGTAATAACTGGATATACTATAACAAAAATGTGATTTAGTGACAAAAAAAATTTCGACATACAAAAAGTTGTCGCAATAAATGATTTAGTGCGACACTTTTTTAAGTTTGTAGCCAAGATTGTAATAAAAAAAGAAGTACTGAAAAAATATATGACGACATAAAAAAGTCGTCGTAATCCCTACTAATATAAAAGAGGCAATCCATTGAGCACTATTCATTGTTGAAGCATTTTCATTTTCCCCATTTTACCCACTGAGCACTGTTCATTTGTGAAGCAATTTCCATTCCCATTGTATCCTCCCATTTTATCCCCCATTTTACCCTTCAATCCTTGCTTTTCTAATTCCCCATTTTATTCTTCCCACAATTAGAGGATCCCAGGTTTATTATTCATTATTGTTACACGACAGTTCACATTGAATTAGGGATGGCAACGGGGAGGGGCGGGGGGGCCCTCCCCGCTAAGAAATTCCCCACCCCGTCCCCGCCCCCGCCCCGTTACCTGTTTAAGGCGGGGTGGGGGTAGGTCCTTTCCCCGTTTATTCCCCGTTTTATTTTTTATTTTTTAAGTTTTTGATAATTTATTTTTATTGTCCATATCCATTGCCTCATATACAATGCAAGGCCCCAAGATTACAGCAATCAACTCTGCTCCATGAATTACACGCAACAACAAATCAAGACCATCACAAGATCAAGCAACACTTGCTCAAATCCATCCTCCGACCTCAATTACCCATCCTTTATAGTCTTTTACACCAATGGAACAACGACTAAGCTGGTTCAGAAATTCCAGAGGACCGTTACAAATGTCGGAGACGAAGTGGCAACGTACAAGGTTAAGGTGACAGCACCAGAAGGTTCGATTGTGAATATATATCCAACAACATTGGTGTTTGGAGAGAAATTTCAGAAAAGGAGCTATACTGTAACTTTAACTTACCAGGGGGACAGTTCAGGAGAAGTTACATTTGGTTCACTAATTTGGGTTGAGGATAATGGAAAGTATGCTGTGAGGAGTCCTATTGTTGTGTCCCCTGTGATTAAGACTTGGTCACCATTTATTTGATCTTATAATATTGTGAAATTCCATTGAAACTGAACTCTTCTCTTAATAAAAGTGATTAAATCATAGTAATTGCCAACTTCAAATTTCGAAAGTGATCTCTTGGATGCAATTTCTCCTTAAGTTGAAACAAGGAAAAACAAATGCAGAAAAATAGTACTGCAAAAGAAGAAAATAGAAGCATTTTCTGATAACAAGCGAAGGCAAGATGACAAGGAAATTTTTTTTGCTTAGGATATATATCATTTCAGTAAGTCTACTAAGCATAGCTCATTTAAATTTTCATTTAAAAAATTGAATTCTAAAAAAAAATAAAAAAATTCCCATCCCTTCCCCGGGGCAAAATTCCCCGCCTCGTTACCCGTTTAAGCGGGTTTTTCCAGCCCCGTTCGGGGCGGGGCCCGCGGGTATCGGGTTTGTCGGGTTTTTTTTGCCATCCCTACATCGAACTGGTTCTGAACTGTTCATCAACCGGGTTCTCTCCCTTAAATATCCTCACAATGACAATTATAGCTTAAATATCTTCACAATGACAATTATAGCTTATTTTGGTACTGCTGCTTATGCCGACTTAATTATTATATTAAAAAAAAAATTACAAACCGACTTGCCACTGATATACATGCAAATATATTCAAACCAATTGCAATAAGACAATATCTCGATTTCATTTCAAACATCAAATAAATTATTAGCTTTAACAAGAGAAGAATCGGAATTTGAGACTGAAGGGCGCAAGTCAGTTAGAACAAAAGTGAGTTTCAGTTGATATTTGAAACTTTTTTTCAGTTGATATATGAAGTTTTGGTTTATGATATTTAATTAATTCTGTTGTGATTTTAGCTTTATCAATCAACTCACAAGAGAAGAAGCAGAATTTGAGACTGGAGGGCGCAAGTCAGTTAGAACAAAAGTGAGTTTCTATTGATATTTGAAATTTTCAATTGATATTTGAAATTTTGGTTTATGATATTATATTAATACTGATGTGTTTTTATTTAATTTTGGAACAAGTTTTTTATTTTTTAAACGAGTGATATCTTTTTTTTATAGTGCTTTGTGGAAT